TTCAAAAATGATTTGAACAATGGCGCATCGATTTACACACTTTTCGTTCTGACTAAAGGTCCAAATGTGAAAGTCATGCTTTTCTAATCCATCTGTAGAATGTACAAAAATTTAAATTGATTTTTAACTTGACCCAAAATATCTGTCATATATGCATGAATAGTTTGCAAATGCAAATTGCGAGCTTTATGGTATCTTTGGCGCCGCAAGCGACTCTGGACAGATTACTCATCGCAAGTTAAAAGCCGTGCCGAAACACTGTAGCACAAGGGTGTTTACACGTATGCAGATCATTACTTAACTTTTGACTCTGCTAACAAACTACGACAATTGCAATTAAGTCTTGTTGATTTATTTGGTCGTTGTGCTTGTGTTGAGTGGCCTGGGAGAGATTCAGAGATCCAGAGTGAGTCATTTACAACACCGAGGGAAGCAGGAGTGGTGGCGATCCACTTTAAAGAAAATGCTTCTCGAGCCTAGAATTTGGTACAACTCTACATCATTTGTAACGACAAAAAGATGTCTCAGCTCACCAACTAACTACCAGCACGCGAGAAGATATGTACCAAACAACTAACCGACCTGCATGTGTTTCCCGAAATAAACTAGCAATTTACATGTGAATTACACATCACAACCCATTCTCTCTCCGAATTATTTTCAGGTTGTACAACCTACAATGCTCTCAACTTTGCTCACATTTAAAATGTTAAGCTAAGGGAATGCATGGGATCTCCAACCTTCCAATCCTATGTATCTGTTCTTCACTACATGTACGTTCATGTACGTCTTTTCCAGAAAGAAAAAAAAAAACAATAATCGTTATACATATTTGCATGAAAATTTGGTGCTGTGATGGGTGCGTGGGTAGGTTCAAGTCTTCTACTTACCTGTGGTAGTCAAGCCGAGAAATGTATGCGTACCATCGTCTGATAAAACGAGAGGGAAGTACATATCTGCACATGAACATATATTTGGTCTGTATTTCTTAAAGAAATGTTTATTATATCATTTTGAAGAGAAGATCAAACCTTTACTTTGTGAGTATGTACCTTCTATAGATCAGACTCGTACAACATTTGAGCGAGAGTATTTTTTTATATTTTCATTGCCAGAGTATTACATACATATTACTGCAGTATCCTCGTTCGTGGGCTTGAAGAAAACTATATTTTGAGCACAACAAAATCATAAAACATGGATGTATAAATTCATAACGAAAGTTATCAAGATCTACACTGGATAAGAGTCTTCGCAAGTCTAATTTTGCCCCAATTTGTATAACTAACAACCCCTTGCAAATGAAATCCTAGTAAGTATTATTAAGCTTGCACACATCTCTCTGACTTGATGACAGCAAGTGGTAGACCATAACTAAAATTCTAGACAAGACCAAATTTTAAGAACATAAACGATTTACGTCAAACTCTTAAAGTGATCTTGTTTGATATGGTTTGAGGTTTTACCCCGTAGCGTGCATTGAGAGGATGATAGTAGTTTTGAGAGACTTTTGAGATGAGTTTATTATAAATATGTCTGGAAAAGTGGTACGAGAGATGAACAAATATGTATGCACATCAAGAAATACGTGCAGATGAGATGTCGCAACAACCTCCTTGATGAAGAAATTTGCGTCTTCCGCTATGATTACAAACCACGATGTCTCTGGAATTGAGATGTTTTCTATTTGTCTATTTCAAGGCCTCAAATGTGAGAAGGAGCAGAAATTCATTTTCTCGTATAATTATGGCATTTCAATCATGTCCTGTTGTACATATGCACCTGGTCATGTTGGTGGATTAGGTAACAAAATAAAATAATTAAAACTTCAGTTAGGATCGCATACTCATGGGACGAACCAAGTACGTTACGTAGGTGACGAAGGTCAATGCAAGGTAACTCAAGACGACATCGGTCACATGATCCTTCTTCATCTTCCCCTCATTGCCGTGTGTAAAGCAAACGAACTTTGCTCACTCCATTTCACTTTCTCCTGAGTGAACGCCGAGAGAGAGGACGAATTCAGGTCAGTGGGGTTTATGTATGTATGGAGAAGCTTGGTCCAATCCAGCCGTGGTGGTGGTTATCTCATGTTTTGATCTCTCGACTAAACAACATATCTACGTTGATATATGACCACATGTAATGAGGGATGATTTCATTCCATCTCCAGTCCAGGTCTACGTCGTCTTCCTCCTATGGCTTTGGAGTACGTATAAGAAATGACGTCTGCTGCCTGCCTCCCGTAATGGAAGTTTAAATGTTGTTACTTTTCTGTGAGGCTGGTTGGTTGAGTTTGAAAGAACGGTCGTCGTTCCTGGCAGCTCCAAACTAGACGACTGGTTGGTGACAAGGATGATTTTGGATAAGGCTCTCCTGGCAAATTATGTGAATAGCAATTCACTTCTCTGCTATATGGTTGTGTGACATCGGAAATATGCGGCTGTGTCGTGTGCCTGTAGCTTCTAGGACTGTGTGGCGTTTGCAAGTAAGCCGGTACGATGACCTCATCTCCACTGAGTACCCACCGCCGGACTTTGTTTATGGCCTTTTGAACTCTTTCCTTGATTTAAAGTGGTAGAAAAGAAAAGAGGGCGAGGACATTCGAGTTTTTATTTTTTGGACGTAGAGGTGGAGAAAGTAAAGTAGTTCAAGATAACGAGTTGCAGCAGCAGAAATGATGGATATGGTTTACACTGAATTTCCTTGGAGGATTGCCTCCTCCTCTGTCTGCGGGTTATCTCGAGTTATCCCATCAAAATTTGTACAACGAATGTGTTCCGTCGTGTATGAAATTTTTAAGAAGCTCAACTTACTAAGCCGAGATAATTTGATTTTGATGCCACGGCTTCTCCATCAGAATGAAAGTACAAGATAAACCGGAAAAAATCTCTAACTTTCTTCAGGCCCGTACAGAAATATAGAGAATTGCTTTATGCAACTTGGGATTTCTTAAAAATGCACTCGTTAAAATTAGTTTGCCCTGTTTGTACAATTGCGTGGGTAGCGTATTATCAACTTCATACCCACAAAGTTCATAAGAAGTACGTAGGTTCCTCTCATTTGAAACTGACTGAGTAGATCTTTTTGTTGCGGCGCAGGTGAGATTGCGTAGGCATCACTAAACGAGACATGGGTTTGGCATGTTTGTCTTTGTCAAAACAAAACTGCTGTTGCAAATAAAATCTGAGATGCCACAAAAGATTATGTCAAGAATTGGCTGAGAACAAAATGAACTGTCATGATCATGTCTGTGCACAAAGATCTCCTACGAAACTTATTAACCGCCCAAGTTGTTGGCTTCGACCAAGACGTAAAGCTGACAGGTTGAAACGGAGCGTAACCTTTTGCATACAAATCTTTAACTGATGCCGCTTTGTCGTGTCACTCGATCTGCTCGGTGTAAAAATAATCCAGATGTTCTTTCTGGCGTATTTCTGTTTTCGAATTTTGCATAAATTTTACCCAGAACTTGAAATGCGTCAACATTTTGAGATGAGAAGAGGGAAATTGTTGGTTGTTTATTAGCATTTAGATCCAGATATTGTATTCCCTTTGAATTCGTGGCTTTCAGATTAGTAAGTATGAATCTATACTTAAACACTTGGACCTCACAATACACAGCCATTTTTTGGACTACTGCTAATGATTTTAAGCCTTGCTCCACAAAATTTAAATGCCTCCCTCTCATAATTACAAACATGTGTAACCTGAATTGTACATCACGATGGAATGTACAAACGTTATGAGCTTTGCCCACTTCCAATCACTTCCAGCATTGAGCATCCCCAAAACTAAAAGCGAGGAACAACACGATTAAGTATGTACATATATGTACATAAATATACGCGGAATTTGAGATTTTGGTGGAACGGTTCGCATAATCCTATTAACCGTAGGATAGATTTTATGACTGGTTGGAGGATTTGTTATTTAAAGCTTGTCGAGAGATTATGCAGCACAATGTAGTCGTAGAAAGCACAACGCAGCGACATCATTTCACATATTTATGCATAAAGGTATCAGTATGTACTGCATTCTACGTGGCTATTAGGGATGCACGGACGGATGTAATAATGCAAAGAGTTTGCACTGAATCACTGATGTGACGATATTTTGAGCCAACTGCTTTTTATGACGACTAACCGTTGCAAGCTAACACAGAGCCAACTGCATTTTCAACATCCCTGCGACTGTTGTGTACTTTTTCGGTTGACAGATAACACAGTTTGAAATAGCGTCCATTAGGAAGGTATTTCCTCAATAATGAAGCATTGGGACACATCCATTTTCCTTACGAATTGGCCACAAAATGACTCGACAAAACTTGAAACCGATGATACAAAGTCTGGAATATTTTTCTTCGTGATTCAATCCGCATGGCGAAGCCCGGAGGAAGAATTGGAAAGTTGGCTTGGATAAGGATAATAATGGGAATTCGCTTATTCCATGCATGCACTTTCCAGTAAAATGTGCACTCACGCAGGTCGCAACAGAGGAGTGTCTCCGCTGAAGATAAAAGAACAGTTTAAAACTCCACCGTTTTATCCAGTACACTTTCACTTTCACTCCTCCGTGCATTTTAAGAGCATCTCCTGATTCATCAGATTGCTGTTATTGCCCGAGGGGCTTAGCTCCATCTCCGACTCTTCGCCTCCATGAGCACCATGTTTGGAATTTGCGGAAGGTGGTGGTGAGAAATTGATGGTGTGCGTGTATGCAGGGATATCGTTAGCATTAATATAATGGTATGCACGTTGACACTATTTTATTACCTGTGCAGACATTCTCCCCAAGCGACTTTCAACGCAGTTTTTGGAAGATATGCAAATATAGTTTTTGTCCTTTCTCCATTCTTCGACTTCCTTTAGCTTAAGGATAATCTTGTACGCATCTCAGTGATCTTCTGTACTTATGTAAATACATACATACGTAGAGAAAATAATGTATGGATTTCATTTTTGTTTGGCTAATGCAGTTTTGTAATTTGATGTATGTAGGTGTCCTGGATAAGAAGAAGAGATTGGCACATCCTAACCACAGGAAGAACGGTGTACACGACAGACGATCGCTTTCAAATTATCCACCATGATGGGTCTGACGAGTGGAGTTTGGTAATTAGGTACACCCAACGAAGAGGTACATACGTCGAAATTCATAAAAAATTTGACAAAATAATAAAGACATGAAATGTGCAAAATAAGCTTGACGTATTTTGTTTCTTTGTTTTCTAGATGCCGGAGAGTACGAATGCCAGGTAATTTGACTCATAATTAATTGTAACCTGTTTTCTAAATTATGCTCACCACAATTGCATATGCAAACGTGAGAATAAGTCAGATGCAAGTTTTGTATAACAATGCGGCGAGAAGTCAGGAGTCTTATTTTCATAACCACTTATCTATCAAGATGTGCCTCTTACGTATATGTGCATACTTAGTGTAGCAGTGGAAGTTCAAAGGTCAAATGATGCTTATGTCCAGTTCCGTTATAAGTGTGTTTATTGAAGATGCTCAAGTTATTCTGCATAGCCTGTACTTTACTCAATTCTATTAAACCTGAAAAATTGTGTACATTGCAGACCAAGTTTAATAATATCAAATAGGAGATAACTTGTAGAACATGCAGACGGAAAATTTCAGTTAACTAGGCCAGTCTGGAAAAGGCGAATTTTGGTTGGGGTTTGCTACAGGGAAATACAAGAGTGGGTCTCTTTCCGTCAAGTGTTTTGCCTGTGGTGGTGGCAGGGAGAAAGGTGAGAGTGCGGTGGCTGACTCTCCGACGAGTGAGCCAGAGTATGATTTGCATAGAAAACTCCTCTGTCAAAGCTCAACTCTTTCACGGTGTTTGGACGGAATTCAAGAGTATAATTTAATAATTTTTCCGTGAGAGGACTACTAATTAGCCACTTTGTTGGACTGGCGAGAAGATAAACGCGGTGCTGCCGCTTTCTCCAAATTTTACTTCCCGTGCTCATGTCTCACACTGAGCAGCAAACAAAAGTCAGGTCGTTAATTTTTATCTCAACTTTTCTTCCCTCAGAGATTAATGTGCTTTCAGTCATTTGGCCCCTCATATTTTCTCAACTGCATCTGCACTCCAATTACTTTTGAAATCCGCACACAAGTTCACGAGTTCATAAATAACCAGTTTAAGTGTCCACATAAGTGTCCCTGCTGCACTGGAAATGGTCGAAAAGCAGGGCAAAAATAATAAGTAAACCTTTTTTGTGTGCTTTCTCTCCTCCTCGCGTTCTCCATGTGGTAGTCTGAACATCTTTTATTGTAGAAATCTTATAGAAATCCCGTTGATTCAACGACAAGAAAAAAACAATGTTGGATTCTATAAACAAGGTAAAAGTTATGTGCTACGAGCTTGTTTCTTATTGAGTCAGTCAATTTATAACGGTTGACGAGGTAGGCAGAATAAAAGCAGATGCCATCCACGGAGCAGTTTGTACATATGTATGCAGTATTTACAACGACGAAAGGAGAGAGGATTCGGTCCAGGAAAGCTTCACTTTCACCCCATTTATCCAGCTCAAGCTCAAAGATAAGGGAGCACATTTTAACAAGTAAGGTTTTAGCTCAGCTCTCCTTCCCATTGAGTCGCACGAGCCTTTCAGAATTCACCCTCAACGGCAATTAATAATACATTTCATTCGTGTTGTTGGTTTGAGAGAAATTCCTACGCACCACTTTCCTTGGCTTTGGTATTTTGAAAACCTGCGTATTTTCAAGTAGAATTTATTAGAATTGCTCTGGTAATTTCCCCACCCGAAGAGAAAGAGCATCAATAGAGGAGCAGGAGAGGAACGTGTTTACGTACGTACAACGTATGTAAAAGTACAATACAATCTTGTTGACAAAATGTTGGCGTCCTTTCAGAGCGTGGTTTATTTGTTTTCCATATTGTTCTACCTCATCTGATTTTAATACGTCTGCCATATTTATTTATTGCAACTTTGATTTCACATTTCTGTTCCCGAAATGTGATCTCTAGTGAAATGGAGACAATAAACGAGAGCAAGCCGTTGTTTATGTACAATCGCAAAGTCACTTCATTATTATTGTTGAGCCATGGAATGAACAACAATTGATCTCATCCTTCCTTCCATTCATTATGTGTACCTCGGTTTGTTAGCTTATCCTTCATTAAATAGTTTATCAGGATAATGAAGCAGCTTTTGAAGCACAAGGGACTTCCATGTCCCATATTTTTCTCAATTTGTTACTTGCTGTATATTGTTGAAATGCGTTTGATCTTGTGGGAAGCCTGGAGATAATGAATTCAAAGAGTGTATTACTCCCATAAGAATGAATAGATCGTTTGTTGTGGAAAATTCGGATTATGGACGAATAATTTTAATCCCGTGTAAGCAAAAGCACCAACACAGAGCTGGGCTTATGAAGATGACAAACTCAATTTCCGAGTACATACTTACAGACGTATGTGCATAAGTTGGATACGTAGAATGTACCGAGAAAACCCTCACCCATGATTCAGTATAACAGCAGCAGGCATGTTCCTCTGTTGTCACAAGTCGCGAATTGTCATCATTTGAATTGGACTTCTTATGTAACGTGGTGAATACTGGAATACTAAGTAAAATTCTTTTTCAATATTGACCAACCACACACTCGATGGTGTTGAAGACTATTGGCGACCTGTATCTGTCCCCGTGACCATCACATTGGCCTCACATGTCTCCCCCTCCCCGATACTCCGATATTCGAGCCCATTAGTAGTCACGAGGTGCAGGCCGCAGTGTCCCTGGTGGCAGCCTCAGCCGACGTGAACATGGAGCAAGTGAGATATGGGTGACTGACTATTCCAAGAGGTTGAAATGAGGAAAGAAGTCAGGCAGCAGCAGTGGCATGTCAAAAATGGGAATGCAGAGCACTGCTCTCTTCCCAATTCAATTCACTCTTGCTCATCACTTGTCCCGTAAACGTCACCAAAGTAGACCACCACCACCACCGTCAAGAAGGAGGACGATGGGAGAGTGAAAGTTAAGAGGAGGGAGACGACTTTGGTCTCAAGTAGAAAGATTTTGTAGCGTTTCTGACTGGCGACAAGGATGAGGACCATCACTTCCATGCTCACTGCTCTGATACGTGAAAGGGATTTCGTCAAGAATAATTAATCATTAATCTGGAATCCCAACTTTGGAATCTCAAATCTCGTACCCTCTCGGGGATTTTTTACTCGCAGGAAATCAATATTTTTCTGTTAGTTTCAATCATTCCTTTCGGGCCCAAAATCTTGCCGTTTCTGAATAAGAAAATCCGTGGCGATGCAATTTCTTCCTCATTTCAGCCCAAAGCCGGAAAAACATTATAAGCGTCTGTATATGTATGTAGCTTAAAGCAGCAACACACACTTAATGATTCTACACTAGGACTACCCACTTGTCCTTGGAAGGAGAAGGGCGGTGCCTGAAGGAGTGAAGTGATGGACAATAAAGTCAGCGTATCATTTACAGTGACATGAAATCTCGCTGATAAATTAATGTTTTATACTTAACGTCGATTGATGCTTCAGATTGGACACCTTTTTAAATTTCATGGCATCAGGAGGATAATATATCCGTGTTATGGACAAGACGATCCAACCATTAAGCCGTTCTCCTATACGTATCTGTGCACACAGCCTTGTTCCACGTACGACAGGCGAGGAACGAGTGGGAGGGTTGAGAGGGTTGAATGTCAATATCCAGCACTTCATTGGAAAGCTCTTGACTACCAAATTGCAGATTTCGTTCTAGTTTCTGAACTCGGACGATATAGTGAGACGACAAGGACGACAGTGTCGTTTTAGCCCACGCTCGGATCAAACCAGGGTGAAGACTATTTCAGTGAGGTTGGATTGGGACCTGAATGAAATTACGGATTCAAGTCTGGTTCATATCATGCGGATGAATTGCGTTTATCTCAAGTATATGCAAATAAGAGTCAGGATCACGACTCACTTTGCTTGTTCACCTACCTGCACTTGTCTCAATGAGATCATGACAGTGATGATGATGAGGTTACAAAACGATGGGAGAGCAAAATTTATTCAATCCCTCGTACCACCCATGCTCGTTCATCTTATTAAGGGCCTCGTGTCTCCTCTCGCCCAAACGATGTGCAATTTGAGGGTCAGAAGTGGAACCTGGTGCAATTAAACGTATACGAGAATGACAATGAACGAGTTGGATACACACGCGCCCTCGTTATTCAAGTACCATCGAAATCCATCGGATCTACACTTTCAAGTCTAATCTATTTCAATATGCAAGTAATAGGCTGAAATTTTTAGGCACGATTATTTGTTTTAGTGTCAAGTTAATCTGATAAATTCTGCCACCTGGAGTACAATTTTATGGTTTGGTTGGATCATAAATAAGCGCAAAATATGCTCGCAAATTAAGAATCGCACCAAGACACAGGCATCGCTTTATTTACTACGTATTCATGCGACTATATTTATAACGATACGTTATCTCAGCCAGCATATAGCACCGAGACAAATTGCACTTTACTCTTAATCGACACCATTACGTGAGATTGAATAGCGGAGGGATTACTTCTTGAATAAAGGTTTAATCCGTGGGTGATGAGGAAATCTCCCGTTGCTGCAACCACGAGCCGCGACGTTGCTTCACCTACTTTCACCTAGAGAAATCTCTTCCCATTCAAACTTAGTCGTAAAAATAACGGGGGAGAACAGTTCGGAAATTATGTGACGAAATGATGAGCATAAATTATGAAGCACAAACGGCTTTCTCCTCAAGCAATAACGTTTACTTTCTGGTAATTGACCAATTAGTCACAAGTCAAGTAGGGAAACTGGGTTATCATCGCTTGGTAAGAAAACGACAGGCAGGCGAGCTTTATTGACGACCTCATTCAATTTCAATTTCTTGTTGAAGCTGTTGTTAGCAGATCACCTCCGACTTTAGAAACTTCTTCAACATTAAAATTTTAGTTTATTTGATGAATAATTATGCAGTACTCGAGCTCGAAGAACCACTCGATAAACGGCATTGACTTTTAGTTTTAATCATCTTCATGATCGTTATGCTACATCGTTCATGCTCCAGCACCGACTGAGAAGAGAATTTTTCTTGGCAAATTGAAATAAGTTGAAACTCAACTAATTTTAGATTAGACGGGCAGGAGATGCATTAAGCAGAATGAATTGTAAATTGTTGAATTTTGTTATGAAAGCTGCTATTGAGACTGCGCTAAGACATTTTTTCTCGCAAAATGCTGTATTTGTAATCACAAAGAGTTGTTTGTGTGCTTTATTGTTTTGGTTGGTTGGTGGTTGTAGGAACATTTCTCATTCAAGCTTAGACTCGGAATTGACGTGCTTAATGTAGCATTTGAGCTTTGAAGTTTCAAGTTACGCAACGGGATGTAGAATTATGACATGGAGAATGGCTGGAAAAAATGGTGGACTAAAGGCAAGCAATACATCTGTATGCATGCACAGTTTGAATGATCAGATATATGTACATGCATGCGTAATAAATACTTTGTGTACCTTATGTAAAGTATATATACCACTGATGACTGGAGTTGACTGGAGAGTTGCATGAATTATTATGCTATATTCAATATTAATCATTTCACTCTTTTGTAGATTGAGGTTAATGGCTCTTTCTTTGCCTTTTTTTGCAGGTTTCAAATCCTCACGGGGTAATAGCACACTTCTTCAACCTTAATGTCCTCGTCCCTCAAGCGTATATACTGGGTGCAAAAGAGTATCACGTAAGTACTTCTTGGACTAATTTGTTCGTTTAATCGTGCATTTTAACTCATGATGTCAATCATTTTTTTCAGGTGCAACAAGGAACTGTTATCAGCTTAGTCTGCATTATTGAAAATGTAAGTTTCTTGAAAAAGTTGTTTTCTCTATGTACATTTTATAAATAATCTGATCATCTCTTTTCAACCTCGTCGTGGTCGAGTTCGGAATATGAAATTAAATCTATAATGTGATGCTGCGTAATTCACCATTTTCCGAAATGCCGGCTGTAAACTTTTTGGTCGGTGAAACTTTGAAATGTTCTTATTTGCTGAAACACCGTGGACCCAATCACCCGTGACATCGCTGAACTGTAATTTTACGTAATAGAATTTCATAAAATTACAAGGTCAGAGCAAAAACATTTGTAGACAAAAGAAAATCCATTGATGTGCGACAGGAACATATTTTTTTCATTCAGTAAACATCAAAGTTTTAAGCTGACATAGCAAATAGGCGAGCAGGGCGAGAAATAAAGTGACGCGTCGTCTGAAACTCTTATAATGTGCGACCAAAAACTTGGTCTCTCGTTCCTATTTATTGTCCTCCATGGCGAGGCCTTCCTATACGAAATTGAATTGAACACTCAGCGGATATTGTATTCGAATCTTGGAGGAGCTCGCCGTCTCAGAGCCACGCAGGAAATAATAATATTTCATACACTGCCATACACAGCATATATGTAGTCCGGCAGAGATTTTGATTCACTCCCACCAGCCAACAATCTTGAGTGGAATTGGAATGCTGCGTGCAAAAATAATGGAGGATGAGGAGAAGAGGCCGGACGATGATACATACGATGAGAGAGAAGGAGGAAATTCCAGTTTGTGATATTTGTGAAAGCTTGCTCAACTAACAATGGAGGTCTCCCAACGTATGCTCACAGATTTGGACCAAACTAGTGTCAATCGATCACAAATATAATTAGTATGAAATTTGCAAATGGAACTATCTGCCAATACGCAGGTTTGCCGGAGATATTTGCATTCAAAGCAGAAAAAATGCGCAGGAAATTTGGAAATTGAAAAATATGCCGGCCTTTTGGTGCGTTTTCTCCTATTTTTATGCAAATATCTCCGCCAAACCTGCGCATTGGCAGATAGTTCCATTTGCAAATTTCATACTAATTATATTTGTGATCGATTGACACTAGTTTTATCCAAATCTGTGAGCATACGTTGGGAGACCTCCATTGTAAGAGAGAAATGAACAAGAGACGGAGATGGAGAAAGTACACACAAATATACGACACGGACCGACACACGAGGACAGTTTCATTTTGGGAAAGAAAAGTTGGAGAAATCGACACAGTTTTTGGGGTCCAGCCATTTCTTCTCTCCTCCGCTTCCTCCTTCACTTAAATATACCCATTTTGCACCAGATGCGTAGTACATACTGTGTAACGTCTAATGTGTGGTACGGTACACTTTATGGGAGGAACGCTGCATCGGTCGGTGGATATGTATGAAAACTCGAATGAATGTAATCCCCAAAACAGCTCTATTGCCGGAAGTGCTGACCGATTTATATCACAATCACGATGAGCTAAATCTTTTGCAGTGGTTAGAAAACCCATGGCGCGGATGTAAATCCCGTCCATTCTTCAAGCTCTCATCCTCCTCAATATGGCTAAAACGCTGCGATGCACTGCTTGCGGTTGTTGCCAAAATAAATGAAGGTAGATGGATGGATAGTCGCTGGGTTGGTGGGAGTGGTCCGCTGCCGATGAGTGTTAAAGAACTGATTGAGTTTGTTGAGCTCAAAAGGAAATCCGATGGTTGGATGGATGGATGGACTGTGGGATTAACTTTTGTGACAAAATGGCCCAAAGCATTAGTCGCTGAGCCGGTAAATGTTTGTTAGGCAGCTTCCAACAATGTATCAATCTGGATGAAGTGAAATCCCAGTCACACGTTGGCTGGCTTAGCTAAATGAATATCTACGGTGATACCGGAGGTTGCAGGGAACGAATAATAGATATCTTATAGGCTAACAGGTTAGCTATACATAGTTGGGTTGGTTTGGATTACATTTAGGACCTGTTTGTTGTATGCAGTAACTCATTCTCATTTTTCAAGGCAAATTAGAAATACTAATTAAAATTATTGCAAAATTATTCCCATCAATGTTGCCCTTTCACTCTGGTGATGCGTATTTGTATTAGTTACGCTGTAAAAGTTGTGTAGAGTGATTGTATGAGTTAGGGATGGCCGGAATTATTAATCTATGATAATTTATTGAGAAGCCAACAACATAAATCACCCGTTTTACCACTTTTATAGTAGTGAAGTGTAGACAAAAATAAAAAGTAAAATATACAGTTTCCAATAAAAAAAACATGACCAATGTAATGACGGATCGCATTTCCAAATCCGGCACATTTTGGTTTCTGTCCCCTCGCCTGCGCTTTGCTCTTATCAATGGGCGTAATCTGAGGAAAGAGTCGGGCAGAGGCACGGCGGAGATTGAGACTGATGGGAAGAGGAAGGAGTAAAGAGATAAATTCCCAGCATCAGGAGATACGGATGATTTGTCCAGATTTGTCATTGATTGTCTTCCGCGTGTATGTGATAGCATGGTTTGTAATGAAATGTATTGCGGATAGATCGCCGTGTGGGCAACAGGGACAACTTTCTCCACAGCCGTGTCTCTCTCTCTGTCTGATGTCCGAACTGAGATATCCAATTTCTTCCCACATGCGGTGTTTAGTTGCAATCACAACATCACAACGAGTCACATGAATGATACAATCGTTCCCTTGAATCTTGCTCCGATACGAAGTGAAATTGAACAAGACGGAATTTGTCCGACCCATTTTTTACCAAGTCACCGACAAAAAGAAGAAAAATAAGGAAGGTGAGCCAGCACAGCTCGAAAGAAGAAGAAGAATAAGAGAACTTTCTCTCCTTTCTTTGCTCCCAGATTGTTCTTATTCGCTTGTCCTTTTCAAGACTTTTCCTTTCTTGCTCTCATTTTCTCAGCCAGTCCAGTCAAACAGAGGCCAGGGAAGAAGTGATCCATCCCCAGTTCTACTTACAACATGGGATCACTACCAGTCGCAGTCGTCGTCGTTGTCACAGGGAGCAGAAGAGAGGTGAAGTCGACAGGATCAAAAAAGTTTGCAACTTTCCACCTCCACATAGATTCATGCAGCGGCGGCATTGGCGGCGGCGGAAGGAGGGAGAAGAGAAAACTGCTCGCAAACATCCCGAAGCAGTTTTTTTTACCTAGTCGCGAGCTCGGTATATAATAATATTGCATTAGAGCGAGAAGAAATAAAGCTGTGTCCGCAACTATGTATCAAATCAAGTGCCTGCCTACTCGGCGAGTAATGGAAAAGAATAGGCCCAGTTTATTAGAAGGCACAAGACCAAGACGTACAAAGTGGTACAAAGCTCAGTCAACATCCTGTGAAAGGTTCAATAAAATTACACAAAATCGTTTCTCTGATTAGGCCTTGCAAACTTCCTTTCCTCACCAACCCAGCTGCAATAATAATAATGCTCCCGCCAATCCATTGCGCAAAACTTGAGCCCCTTTCGCCAAAGGAAAAGAAGAAGAATAAGAGGGCGATGACGAGATTCAGGTGTAGCGATTGGTACAAAGATAAGAAAGAATGGGAGGGTGGTTTGGGCGAAATGTGCACAAGTATAAAGTTTATTTTCGGAAATATATTCCGACTTGGTTCGATGATGACATTTCGGTCGTTAGCCTGGACTAGGCAAACTTGAGCTGTTAAAAAAGTTTGCGCCCATCCATTAAAAATTTTATTGCTCGTTCAATGAAATAACATTCCATTTCTTTGCGTAGTTCATTCAGTAGTCTGTATAGGAGAAAGTGTGTATTTATAAGACGTGGGAGTTCGTCGACCACCAACACCATGGCAGAACTCACTCTATAACAATCACGATTATGAGTTTGTAATATTTTGAATATAAAACGAACCAACAAGTTTATTCAAAACTGAAATTCGAGAATCCAGAACTCTACCAGTCGTGGCATATATTAATTCTAACTGGAAGAATAAAGGAGTTTGCATTTGATTCACTTTCTCTTAATTTTCTGATCTTATTAGTCGTTGCATAAAGTTCAGACACCTCTGAAAAGTGTTTTTACATACATACGCACAATGCTTTGATATTCATTATTATTGGCATGTCTCGAACCAGTTGGCAGGTACCTTACATATATTTTGTGAGTTAACGAAGATGAAATTTTTTCTAATTAGTTTTGCTACACGTATTATTTTAACCCAATTCACTGGCAGCAATTTATACGAAATCTTATTGTTTCTGGTGACTGATTACAATCAGTCTTTTAAGGATTGATTTGATCAGTGAGGAAAAATTAGGCTGCTTTCAACGTTCGATAAATTTCTCCAATTAGTGTGCCCCAAAAGGACCTCAGTTACTCCCATGTTTCTTAAATTCTGCCTTAATTGAGTCTCGAGGAGAAGCCATTAACAGTTCTAAATTATTTTTAGCCTCTAGTGCGGAGACGAATGATTATTATTGCGTATATATAAATAAGCAATGTCGATTCAGAAGTTGAGCAAAGTCAGCGAAATACTTTTTGGGAGGAGCGTGCAGCCTATTTTTGTGGTGCAACGGAGAAGTGAAAGTCAGGCAGACCAAGGAAAACTATAAGAATGTAAATGAATATCATTTGACGTAAGTGATGAGTTAAGTGCGGTAATTTGAAGAGAAGGGATGGAGGTCTGCGTGGGTGGGTGGTTCGGGCGGCATGAGGTAAACATCACCATCCAAAAAGGGCAAATATATAGATGTTGCAGACAGATAACGCATCTCCAGTTTGCTTTCTCCTCCTGAGCAAACCATCCCAATGACAAGAAGAAGGGATCTAAATGGGAGGCAGTAATGTACGGGAGGCGCCAGTCCTCAGTGTGCGTGTCGTGTGATTTTCTTGGAAAGTTTGTCTTTTAAAACAAACTTCCTTCCGTTCACCAAGGTCCAATCCATCCGCCCACGAGTTGCCTCTGCTCCTTATCGTTCCGCTGCTCTTTCTACACCAACCACCGACGACCTCATCTCGTCATTTACTTCGAAGCAGGAGAGTCGAC